TTTGAGGTTTGCTTTATTGTACATTTGTAATGATTTCGTTAGTTCAGTACCGTAGAACATGGCGGATCAATGGTAATTGTACTTCGGGATTCGTATCGGTTCGGCTACGCGTCACTCAAGTGCGAATTGGTTGACGTACACCCCCCAGGTTTTCAGTGCATTACTGTTGTCAATCTTCCGGAGGCTGAGACCACCACCGCCCAGGCTCGCCTGGACCACGACCTGCAGCTGGTGCGGTTACACATGGTCACCCTGTTTGGTGGCGATGAGGTGAAACCAGCGCCAGCGAGCAGAGTAAAAGCGGCATTCAGGCTTCGAAAACCCCTCCAGGATAATTCTCCCTGACCACGGAAAGTGGTTCTTTGGGTAGAAAGTGAGACCAAAGCAATGCTGCAGCGGACCTACAAGCTGAAGGGAACTCCGATGCGGTTCCTCTGGGATCTTGATCCAGATCAGTGCAGTAAACTGAAAACTGCATTGGAAGAACTCAGGGAGCGCCGTGCAAAAAGGGAAACTGATTTTTGTATACAGGATTTTTGTGTGCATGGGAAGCGCCCTCAGTTGCGTTGGCTACCCTTTGTCTGGGGAGGGACCCAGGAGATTGTTTAACCAAGGGAATGGGTGATTAGGTTGAGGCGCGAATGGTGAGGTCACCAAGCTGTGCTAACCTCAGCCAATATCTGAGGGATACTGGGAAAAAGGGATGAGCTGGAGGACTTGATTGTATCTAAAATCCCGGTCATTTTGCAATCACTGAGACCAAATGTCCGGGACTCCGAAATATCACTCTACGGTTACATAGTGTTTTCGAACGGGTTTATCATCGTAATGTCGCGCTGGTGGAGTTGTTCGTTTCGTCCAGCTTGGGTCTCTCTGTTCAAGTGCTGGAGAACTACGTTCATCCGGAAGGATTTGGAGAAGCCCTGTTACGCAGAATCAAGCTTTTTGCCGGAGCGTATACCACAGTTGGAGTACTCTACCGGACACCGGCTGTGTACGTCCCAGAGCTGCTGGCCAGCATACAGAGATACGCCTGCGATGGACATTGTCTTGTCTTGGATGATTTCAACGCGCTCCATGTTGATTGGGAAAGTGACATCTGCTCTCAGCACACAGATTCGTGTTCCAGATAACTTCTTTTCGCTGTCCGGACCCTCTCGTTTGTTCATCATGTTCATGTGCCCACGCGGATAGCTGGGGATCAAACATCCATCCTTGACCTGATATTTTCGCCGACGCAATCATATATGACCAGGATTGACCTTCTTCCACTATTTGCATCTTGTGATCACTCCGTTCTGCGTATACACTGGAGGCGTGGTGTACCCAAACGGACAGACCACAGGACGGACGGAATGTGCGGCGCTCATCCTTTCCGGATATGCGTCAGGCTGCATCGCTCATAAATTGGGATTCCCGGAACCCTGAGGATGTGGATATATCCTGGAAGTTGGTTCGTCATAGAATCCAACAACTCGTACTAGAATTCTCTCCACCCCACCGCCACCGAACACACGCTATGGGCCCGCCGTGGTTTGACCAAAAACTGCGGGCGTGCTGCCGGCAGCGGAATAAAGCCTCATCCAGGTACCGCGCAAAAGTCACAGGATATGAGGAATATCTATGTATTCGGAATCATTGTACTGCATTGAAAAAATGCAAGAGAACCAGATTCAAGGAACGGCTCGCAGCGGCTTCGGTACAGGCATCAAAACGATTGTATACCTATCTCAGGTGAAAAATCAGAGCAACGCCCAGTCTCTCGACTCTCGCCAAAGACGGGGCGCTAGCCGAAAAAGATGAAGACAAAGAGAAGATTTTGGCCTCACATTATGCCCCAGTGTACACCCCAGACTCAAGCACATTGGCACATCTACTGGACACTGACACTGCTCTAAACTGGACCCTTTACCATTAGAGAGGTGGCCCCGGAGCTGCATCGGCTAAAGGTTCACCATTCATCAGTACCTGATGGTGTGCGTCCGCTGATCCTGAAGGAGTTGGCAAATGAACGTGCAGCGCCACTGTAAAACCTGTTCAATTTGTCATTCACTCAAGGGCGTTGATCGCGACAGTGGAAAGATGCTGTCATTGTTCCACCTCCAAAACTTTAGGATAGAAGTGACCCTGGGAACTACGTGCCGGTCAGCCTTACTAGTGTTGTGGATAAAGTAATGGACCGATTGGTGGCTGCACGGTTTCGGCAGCATTTGTTGTGCTACGGTCACCTGTGCCACCAACAACACGGTTTCCGGCCGGGTCGCTCATGCCTCTCAAACCTGCTACTTGCACGGGAATGCTGGACCCAGGACAAGGCTAAAGGACACGAAACGGAAGTCATCTTCGTGGACTTCAGGAAGGCCTTCGACAACGTGCCGCACGACCTACTTCTGCGAAAGCTGTCCAACCTGGGTGTAGGTGTTGTCATGCTGAATTGGCTGCGAGACTTTCTCATCGACCGGAAATTCTGCGCCCGTGTTGGCAAATCGCTCTCTGCGGGGTATTTCGCTCCCAGTGGGGTCTCCCAAGGCTCGGTTCTTGGTCCATTGCTCTTTGTGGTTTATGTGAACGATTTGCCCGATCATCTGTGCAGCCCAACCCTCATGTATGCGGATGACATCAAAATCTGGCGTAAAATCAAGAATCCCAATGGTCGAAGTTCTCTTTAAGCGGATTTAAACAACCTAGCTCAGTAGGCGGACACATGGGCGACACCTGAGACTGATGGTTACGTCATCACTAAAGATCCGAGAAAACACCGATCGGGTCTGTGCTATTGCATGCAGCAATTTTGGGTCTATTCGGCGGTCTTTCAACCAACTCACGATGGACTCTTCGCATGTCAGACCAAGACTTGAGTATGGTGGTGTAGCGAAATACCACTGCACGGCCGGTGAACTGACTAAGTTGGAGCGTGACAACGCGCTGTCAATAGACTCGTCATTGGTCTACGTGGGACCAGGTATGACGATCGTCTACAGGTTAGCAGTCTGTTCCCAGTTGCGTATCGACTCATCC